TTGAGATTGTGGGGTCCCAGATTTCCTCATCTCCATGAGGGACCCCAAAGGGAGGCAGGGGAAAGGCCAGGCCAGGAGCATCATCTTCAGGACCTCATCATGTCCACACATGAAGGCCTCCATGAACATTTCCTGGAAGATCAGGCTGGGCAGGTCATGCAGAGCAATACAGACTCACTCTTTAGCAGGCTATGCTTGGCCAGCTCATACAGAGGTGGTGGGCTCTGCATACTCATCCTGATGGAGCCTCAAGAACAACGATCCTGGGAACATCCAGGAAGAGGCATCTGCTCAAGTCAAGCTCAAGAGACTACTTCTAGCCAGAGATTTAGCTCAGTGGTTTTGCCGCCTGCTACACAAGTGCAAAGACCCAAGTTCGATCCCCCGTACAAAAAAAAAATAATAATCCCTTCCTGTGGGTGTGTTATAAAGCAAATTATAAAGAGACTACTTCTGATCCAGGAGACTAACTCTGAACTAGTCTCTGGCCTGTCTCTGGTGGAGTGTAGGAGACATCCCTGCCCAGTACTAGCAGGCTATGAGTGGGACATACTTCTTGCCTTCCAAAATTCGGCTACACTGTTTTATATCAGGAGTCAGGCTGAAGCCCTGCATGACTCAAACGGGCATGTCAACTAGCAGAGTTGGGATAGCATTGCTTCTTTGCTAATGGCTGTCACTGAGCCCTAAGTCCTGGTCTGTGAAGTGGCAGGGCATTGCTGAATTACATGCAGCTGAGGTCAGCATGACCCCAGTTAAAATCCTTTCCCCTTCTCACTGACCATGTGGATCACTTGCTAATTGTGCCTGGTGCCGGTACTGGTTTCTTCTATCCTAGCAAGATAAGCAGTGCTGACTGCCTTACAGCTGTGCCTGGCGCCATCATGCCAGGTGTTTGGCAGTATTTCATTAGATGACTTCAAAATCTCTCCAACTCCATATTGCTTCTCATAATTGTATTCAATAAATGCTGGATGTGCTTAGGGGCCTTTGTCTTTGCTGCCACCAGCAGCACTGACCAGGACCCAAGACTCAGCTTCTCCACTCTAAGTCTCATTTCTGTCTGTTCTTGAATTTGCCTTGTGCTGGGTGGCTTACAGGCCAGGACCCAAGGGAGAGGTCCTAATAACATCCCCTTCTCCACTCCCTACAGTGGAGGACTTCTCAGTTTGCCACAGTATTGCTGTCTAAAGTTATATCTCTGTCATTTTTAGCACCAGGATGCTACTGTCCCACCCACTTCCAACCACTAATCCTCTTCACTCCTATCCCTATTGGAAGAGGGTGGTGAGGAATCTAATCTAAAAGCTCAGCTGTGACCAGCTTGGGAAAAGTTTCTGATCATCACTCCAAAGCCCTTGAGTAATAGCAATGGAAATATCCTATGGCCCAACCATTTTACCTTCTCCATTCAAATCATGACCTGAGCTGGGAGAGGCTGGGGAGACTTTATAAAATAGATGCCATTATTCTTACTTTACAGAGTTGAGAAACAGTTATCAAAGGCATGTAACACTATTGTAGGGTTACCGGTGGCCTTCCATAGCAGGTATGAACCTGATCATAGTTCCCGCAATTCCCAAAGGAACTCCCCTTTAGAGAGTTGGTCTCTGATGTGCATTTCAGGTTGCCAACCTTAGACCAACAAGAAAAAAGAGGCACAGAACTAAGGAGGAAATATCTGAGAATAATGGCCCACACCTGTTGTCACAGCATTCTGGAATGTTAGGGCAGAGGATCTAAGTGCAAGCACAATGCAGGCCATTCAGAAGGACTTTGGAAAATAAGTTCTGAGACTAAAAAATGAAAATAGAACAAAAAATGGAAACAAAGCTTTTGTACATAGGAAGGGGGCTGAATGCAGAATGGGATAAAATAAAATTTATCAAAAATAAAAGTTTTGTGGCTCTAGTTCAGTGGGAAGGCCCTAAGATGACTCCCAAGTAATATAGGTTTATTGGGAAGGGAGGAAAACTAGAAAAGATGGAAGTAACTTGTGGCTAGAGAAAACTAAAGAGTGGGAGGGAATGAACTACAGTATAGGAATATCTCTATTTGCTTCTGTGAGTTCCCGAGGCCAACCCTCATTGATCAGATAATTCAGGGCCTTTTCCCATCAGTTACTGCAGATTCATGAGCTCTAAGCTGGAAATCAGGTAAAAATGATCACAGAGGAAACCAGATGGTTTAGATGCAACTCCCTTTATTTCAGATCATTTCTTTACAATCAAACACATATTCATCTTAAGCCTGAATTTATAGCTAGAAACTCAGATTCCTCTTTCTGATGATTTCTAGGACCCGAAGTCTACAAAATTCACTTTAACTCTGGATCCGATGATTCTCCAAGTTTGCTGTATGACCAGTCTTTTTCTCATTAATATTGAAACAAGGGTCCTTGTTCCTGATGCCCAATGCAAGCATAGGATATTTGAATCCAACTAGATAGTGATATAAGTAGGCCAAGGAGCAGGATGAGGATAATAGACTCTATAGTTACAAGGGAGCACACAATGAGCCACACAAAACTGGACTATCCTGGGATGGTTTAATGGCTGCACCATCCTCCTTAGCCCACCCTGAAACTAGTTCAGTCTCACCCAGCAGACATTCAGGCATAAGTTCCTCAGCCTTGCAGTGGGACACAGCAGGCTCTCCAGGGTGGGTATGGACATGGAGTTCCTCAGGTAGCTGAAGGAAATGAGCTGGGAGCATCGGCTCAAGGTAGGCAGAAAGGCACAGAGCTGGTCGTCTGTTATCACACAGGGCTGCAAATGCAAGATGGTCAGTGTGGCTGCAGTGTTATCCAAGACAAATCAAAGGAGACCAGGACTAAAATGAGTCAGCCTGATACCACTCAGATCCAAGTGGTTCAGGTGTTTGGTGCTAGACATCCTGGCAGCTGGTTTCAGGGTGAAAATGTATGGTATGTTAATGACAGAGACCTTGTGGGGGATGTCAAGCAAATACAGAAAGACCAGTTATATTTTGCAAAAGGCAGTGAAAAACAGGGGATGGTGGGTAGCAGCTACAAGGTGGGTCAAATGTCATTTGAGTTACCCTAATTTAGGCTGTTTTACCCTTACTTGTATGACCAGCTGAATGCCATATCTCTATAGTCCCTTTTCCTTACTCCCAAGCAGAAACCTACAAATCTTTCGTGATGAGGCAGGAGGAGACAGGCAGGAAGGACAAATCAGACAAGATCTGGCCACATCCACTGGGGTTGCCAGAAAGGCTGGCGCCAGAGTCTGTGTCCTTGTTCCCAGTCCTGCACCTCTGCTCCTTACCATCAGCTTCAGAGTCCTGCACTTCCAGTCTGGTCATCCCCCCACCATGGAGCAGAGGATTCTGATCCTGACTCCTAGGAGGACCTGAAGCCTTGGGCATTGTTGAGCCTCAGGGACATTAACTGCAGAGGAAGAGGACTGCTAATTGGGGAGGCAGAAGTGTAAGGAGCAAAAGTTCCTGTCTCCTTCCACAAGAACTAGGAGTGGGGACTGGGCTGGATCCAAGGCAGGAAGCAGAAAGTGGAAGGAGAAAAGGCAGAAGGAATGGGGAAGGTAGCAACTGATGTCTGGAATGAAGAAGGCCCAGGAAGAGAGCAGGATAACATCCAGCTGAGGTTTTTAAGGCTCTGCTGGTATCGACAGCAGCCTTTTCCACTGGGGGTCAGAGGGACAGGCTCATTGTCTCTCACACCTCTCCTGAAGTCGTAGCTCAGACACTGAGTGTGAGATGTGAGCGCTTGTATTTCTTCAATGCGCTCTGTATTTACAGACCCTCATTATATCTGAGCTCTGAATTCTGGCATCCAACACAGTGGCCCTTTCCCAACTGGCTACTCCAGTAGAGTGGTTTGTGACACCCTGCTGTAGGACTGAGGAGTGGAAAAGGCAATGTGTTGATACTCTAGTGTTTGATCTCTGTCACATTTGTCTATGTTCATCAAGCTTTCTGGAACACAGGAAGTCTCTTCAGGCTCTACAGAGAGCCTCACATCTTACCTGTACATCCGGAGCAGGCACTGGGTCACGAGCGGGAGAGAGTCTATACAAACCTTCTCCAGATGGTGTCGCTTACAATATTGAGAGGTGATTTGGGTGAGCAACTGCTCTAACTCGGTTGAGGAAAGGAACTCAGGCACAGAGATGTCAGAAATGATTAGTGTCTGAAGATTTTTCATCTCAATCAGATAAGGGGTCAAAAGAGCCAGGGTGGATAATGTCCAGCGGTCAGCCAGTTTTGCCACCTGCACAGAATCAAGGTTCAGGATTTCTATGATCTCTATGATACTTTGAATGTCTGCTGCTTTAATGCACAGCTTCGGACAATCCAACTGCACCAGACCTTTCCTCTGCTGGACCCACTTGAGGAGGTAGGATTGGAATAGATACAGACATTCATGACTGAGCTCCAGGTCTACAATCACCGTGAGGGGCTGCTTTTCTGCTGCCCTTGGCCCACTCTTCTCTGTGTTTCTTGTCTTCATGGCTTCTGAGGAGGAGCAGGCTTCCAACTTGTTTCCAGCCCAGACTCTCCAAAAGTTGCTGTGCTTGTCCTGCATATCTAGCACTTGCAGTTTTAACCTCCTGTGGGTGAACCAGTAAGGAGTCTGAGAATTTAGGCCAGGACCCACTTTTCTCCTACAATTTGCTCATCCCAGATATCAGCCGCTATTTGCTCCACTTTCCGTGCTGCAGGGTTTTTGTTCCTTTTTCCTTTTGTATCAAGCCCAGTCCCTGCTCCTCCTGCCCGTGGGAGGAGTCGGGAACTTCTAGCTCCTTTTGCTGCTGCCTTCCTATTACCTGTCCTCCCATCTGGCAATCAACACCGAGGTGGCTCAGCAATCCCCAAGGCTTCTCTGATCCTCTGCCAGTCACCATCAGAAACCTCTGCTTTACCCTCCAGCCCTCACTTTCCCTGACACTTTCTGTCCCTTGCTCAAATCCCAGGGCTCTCCCTCCAATATACCTGGGTTACACTCACCTGGAGCACATTTTCTGGCTCAGCAGCACATCAATCCCATCCAGTACAGCTTGTAACATCCTTTTCTCCACCTCCATAACTTCCACCTCAGTGTCTGAAGTCTGTGGATCCCTCCTGTTCATCAGTGCTCCTAGGGGCAGGTAGGGAAAGGGCCAGGACAGCACCATGGCTTTCAGGGCCTCAGTGTGACCCCTGCTGAAGGCCTCCATGAACACTGGTGGGAAGAGCTCCCCTGGCAAAAGTTCCACAGCCCCCATGGCCAAGTCCTTGTCCTTCAGCAAGCTCTGAGTTGCCAGTTTCAGTAGTGTGAGTGGGGGCTGGGTGCTCATCCTGGTGAATCTGCAAGGCCAAGAGCCCTGGGGAGATATCAAGAAAGAGACATCCTTTCAGGAAAGGCTAAGACACCCTTTCTCCTCACCTTCTCTGGAAGTTGGAAAACAACTTTCAGCCACAAAGTTCCTTTTCTGACAATGGGAGAAGAATCTTCATTTTACTCCAAATCTATTCTGTGCTCATGGTCCCAAAGCATTACTCTTGCTGGTAACGACAGCAGGAAGAATGTCCATGGCACCCAGGTGAAGCAAGGTGATGACCAAAACATCCATTTCCAACTGCAGCACCCTGAACTCTGGGCCCACTGGGAACTGGGAATCAAGGAATCTGAAAGTGACTCCTACCCATGTTGGGAAAAATTCTGATCCTCACTTCAAAGACATAGTATAACCAAGAAATAGGAAGGTGATATGGCCCAGTCTCTTTAACTTCTCAGTTCCCACAATGGACCAGGGTAAGAACAATTGAGCATACAAAAAATAAATGCCATACATTTTCACTTCCAATAATTGTAGAATCCTAGATTTTGCTCCTACCTCAGAGCTGGCAGGATCAGGGACAGATATGACCTGTCCATCTCCCCCTTTGGTTCCCTGTGTTATCCATCTCCTTGCAGTGGAACCAGAGACTCAGTGGGATAACTCTTAGACGAGATGGCCATGGAGATGTCAAAACCCAATATAGCACTCATTTTCTATAAAATAAGTGAAACACCCCCTTCTCATAAAAAGTACCTCCATCGTCACTTTTGGGAAATCAAAACCTATCCCACATCCTGCCTTGTTCCACATTTCCAATCTTGCCTACCAATTAAAGCCACCCCTATTATTTAGCTCTGCCAGTCCACTTTCTCCAAGATTCTGTCCCAGCCCCTATAAGCTTCACTCCATTCCTCCCTCTTGGCCAGTCTCTCCATAGTCCCAGATGACCAGGCATCTTTACCTCCAAATAAAGCCTTGCCCTGTATACATTCTTTTCAGCCTGTTCCTTCCCTCTCAATAACCACTCAACAGTGCGAGCATCTGGCTAGGGAATTTAAGCTGAGAACAGCCTTGTTGGATGAAAATATATGAATCAGAAGCTTCTGCAGGTGGGTAATGAAAGATGGGGTACAAGAAAAATTTTGGAAAAGGTGAGAACAGATAAATGGGCTTAAAGAAACAGGAAATGTTTTAGCTCAGTGGTTCCACTGCCTGCCTCGAGAGCACAAGTACCTGGGTTCGATCCCTGGTACCAAAACAAAAAACAAAGGAATTGTTTGATGACACAGGAGATGAGGCTGTAATACTGTATTGGGGATATTTGGGGAATAGGTGTTACCTGAGTTCAACTCTCTCCACTGTCTCTTGTGTGACTTTGGCCAAATTGTTCAATCTCAGATGTTCTCCTCTGTGAATGGGGCTCAGAGTTGAATCCATTCTACATTCTTTCTTTGGAGGAAGTTCTGCCATGATTTCCACGTTGGATGTAGTAAGAATAGTAGGGTGTCTTCCTAGCCTCCTAAGCATCTATGCATCTGCCATGTTCCTTACTCTTTGGCCTCTTCCGTCTCTGCAGTGCAGCTTGGGAGGAATTGTCTCCGCTGTTACTGCACACCCCATCCCCACCCCATCCCCACCCCCAGTGTAGGTTCATCCTGCTGGGTGGTGCTGCAGAAATACATGAATGAACACTGTTTGGTCACACAATTTTCTAAATCCCAGTGGGATGCACCACCCCACTATACCACAGGCCTCACACACCCTCCCTGAATGTATCCTCTGCCACATAATTTCACTGTCCAGTAGGGGCAAATAGGCCTCATATATTTTGTCTTTAGGAAGGCAGGTGGAGGATGAAGAGTGGAGGGTGAAGGGTTGAGGGTATTATCTCCTTTAAGGATAATAGGATGGACCTGAGAGGGTCTGAAACAACATGGACCACTGAGGTGGAGGATGGGGAGAATTGGAGAGGAGTGGACCATAATGACTTCCTCTCCTCTCCTCTCCACCTTCTCCCCTGCTGTCTGTTTTCAGGGGGCTGTGTGCCTTAGGCAGGTGACTTAACCTCCCTCACTTCCCTCACCTGGACATCCAGATGAGCCATCAGCACCTCCCTCACATGTATGGTTAATGCCAGAACCGAGGAAGGCAATCTCAGGTGCTGCCTCCCAAATTCCCTGTCAGCCAGGTGGTGGCCACACCTCTAATCCCAGCATTCTGGTGGCTGGGACAGCAGGATCATTGTGAGTTCAAGGCCATCCTGGGCTGGGTTACACAGTGAGTTCAAGGCTGGTCTAGCATAAAATACATAGCAAAACAAAACATAAAATAACTGATGCTTCCTGATATCTTACTCTGAGTACTTCTCATGTGTCTGATGCTGAAATCTCACTATAGTCCCCAAATCCCTGCTGCTATTAGCAACTCCTCTTCATTATACTCTTTCACAGGCACAGCTGATAAGGATTATACATTTACTACAGACTTCAAAGTCTACAGGAAAGTAAATTGTTACAGAACATATTAAGTTAGGATGGAAAATCCTCAGATGTACATTCCCAAAAATTCTTCTTAAACATCTGAAATTTCCCAGTTTTGAATGGAGATGGAGATGAAAGATCCACTTTAAAAATATTGCATAGAATATTTTCAGTTTTCCGTGAAAAGGAACGTCTAACTCATCCACTCATAAAACCATAAGGTTGATCACGAAAAATTTAGGAACAGATGGTAAGTGTTTAAAAAGCCATGGGCCATGAATGTTTCTACATGGATCTTTATGCTACCATCTAAAAAGATGATAACAAGTTCCAGCTCTGCCTAAGGTATTTGATGACTTAGTGAGACAAACATAAAAACAACTTGAGATGTAATGAAATTTGAATCCAGCTAAGGTATCATAGAGGCTTAGTGGGACCCTTCTTGTGAGACCAAAAAATAAATATTAACACAGTTAAAAGTAGCTGTAGAAGTGCATGGTGGCACATTCTTGTAATTCCAGTATTGGGAGGTTGAGGATCACCACAAATTTAAGGCCTACTTGTGCTACATTGTGAGTTCAAGGCCTGCCTGAACTATAGTGAGACCCTGTCAAGAAAAACCCCAAAATACACAATAAAATAATACATAAAAATTGTTGGGCTGGGGATTTAGCTCAGTGGGGCCACTGCCTCCCTTGCAATAGGTCCTGAATTTGATCCCCTGTACCAAAAACAAAATAAAATAAAAGCTGTTGATTGCCAAGTTTGTTGGAGCATGCCTATAATTCCAGTGCTTGGGAGGCTGAAATAGGAACATTGCTGTGGTTTACAGAGTAAATTCAAAACAAGCCTGAACCACACAAGGAGACGTCTCAAAAACTCACAAATAAAAGTAGAATAGAAAATTTACAGCAGAAATCAATTATTTTAGATGAACCTAAATCTGAATTTTAAGGCAAAATCTAAACCTTACCTCTCTTCATCTGAATGCACAGAAAAAGGACTTTCATGGCACCCTGGGCTGCAGGTCACCATGAGACACTGGCTGAGGGCAGACAGGGTGAGTGTCCTAGGGAGGGAGGTGACTCACCAGGGGGAGGAAGTTGTCCTTGTCCTCAGGGCTCCCAGGAAACCAGGCGCAGTCCGGGCTCTAGGATCCCCAGTGCTCCTCAGAAACCTTTATTGACTCCTGGTCCTGTCTCCCTTTTCAGAGACTGCTTTCCACCCAGTGTGGATTCTGAGCCTCCACCCAGTTAATCCTCACTGGTTTTCATCATTCTCCAGATTAATCCATAAATAGATAAAAAGTTCCTTTTTGAAAGGAATGAACTAAGAAGAGATTGGTAATCCAGGACTCGTTCACTGATTGACTCCTGGTCCTGTCTCCCTTTTCAGAGACTGCTTTCCACCCAGTGTGGATTCTGAGCCTCCACCCAGTTAATCCTCACTGGTTTTCAGCATTCTCCAGATTAATCCATAAATAGATAAAAAGTTCCTTTTTGAAAGGAAAGAACTAAGAAGAGATTGGTAATCCAGGACTTGTTCACTGATTGTCTCCACACCCATGTTGTGACTGTGTGACCCTTGTGACTGTTTTAGCTCTGTGTGAGATAGGGCAGGGTATTATCTGTTCCTGACAGTGTTAGAAAAATATCAAACCTGAGAAACTGTGGTTAAAGGATCCTAGCTCACATAAAGATTATCCAAATATTAAAGAGGTAGAGCAATTGTGTGAAGTGAGTGACATCATCCTCAGGGAAAACAGAGCAGCAACCTCCATGGATCAGTGGTGCCTTGGGTGCTCTGCTTCCTGACATCAGATCCGACCCCCACTCAGGGAGGAGAGGGACCACCTAGGCTGAGCTTGGTCTCCAAGACTCAGGTGAAGCCAGGATTTTTGGCTCCCACCTGTAATTCCAGCCCTCTGGGAGGCAGAGTCAAGAAGATCTCGTGTTTGAGCCCAGCCTGGGCACTTTAGAAACTTGAGACCATATCTGTTTTTTGGGGGGGAGGGGGTTACTGGGAATCCAGCTGAGGACCTCATCCTTGATTGACAGGCAATGTGGCACTGAGCTACATCCCCAGCCCAAGACCCTATCTTAAAATTAAAAACTAAACAAAGAAAAGGTCTGTGACTGGAGCTTAGTGCAGAACCCCAGGTTCCATTCTGCGCAACCAGGGTAAAAACACTTAAGTGAAATCCCCTTTAAAGGAAATCAGGCCAAAATTATTTTAAGAAGTGAACAGGGATGCCAGGCCATTAGGGATGGTGCCCTCACATGACCCTGTAGAAAACCCAAATAATCTCAAATGCCTGGGGCCTTTTTCTGGGATCTAGGCATTAGGATTGCAAGAAATTTGCATAGAGGGAGTGTGGAAATCCAAAGAGGGTACTACAAAGCCCCAGTAGAGACTCTTCAACCTGACACTATCCCTGAGGGCAGGGAGGGAGACTTGGTTTTTGGTGCCCCAGAAGAGAGCAGGTGGTTCAGCTGGGATCAGCTCAGGGAACTGGTTTGAGATGATGAAGCCTAAGAATGTGAGCTGGGCAGAG